CTGAATAGATCGTACAAATCTACAGGCCCAATATGACGTGTGACCAGTCAGATAATTGACCTCAGCGACAGATGGTATATCTCCAAAGGAACCAAGAAGATAAACTTTCAATCGATACGTATTTTCATTGACATGCACAACCATTCCTTCTTTTGCCAACTCTTCTAGTTCAGCGATAGCAAAAGGGAGATAGCTTGTAAGATTATTAGTTTTTGGTGGAAATCCAACATCAATAATATTTTCTTTTATTACTCTAGTTTAAATTGTTTGTTATATTGTTATTTTAGTAATTTACTGTTTTCACTTTACCTTTCCGTTTCTGGTAAATTCAAAATCTGAAAATGAATTGTATTTAATTTGACATCTCCTTTGTTGCGTGTTTGAAAACCATCATTAAATAGAATCAAGCCAATATCATATTTTTCTTGAAACAAGCCTTTTGATTGAAGATCTTTTATATATGATCCTTTGATGATTGTATCGATCGGTTTTTCACACTGACGTAAAAACATCGCATTTGTGAAAAGTGAAGACAGTTGAGGAGCTTACTTTAGCTGTTCTGTAGTTCGTCTAGGTGTTGCAGTAGAATTGGATGAAGTGTATCTTACTCCATGGAATTCAGGGCACTGTAATTCACTTTAATCCGGGAAAGCATACCAAGCATGTATACATGTATCAATCTTAAATGGTCTAAAAGGTGATTTTTTCTTGATCTTTGTCTTATACTTTTTGTGTGTCAGGAGGGGAGTTTGGTCTATTGAACGTCATGAGCAAGCATTCTGTTTTATTAAGTCATTTTACGTACCTTCATCCTTTTCTAGGTTATACCAGGTGACTATTTTGTCTATAGTACCATGTCCAATATGATCCTCTTCGAAGATTTGGTAGATATCAAGATTTTTCTTGTTAATATCAATGAATTGTATATTAGGATCCGTTACGGTAAAGGTTCTATCGGGATGAGAATTATAACTTGCTTCGCTTTCTACATTTACTGTTGTAAGAGTAGTACAAGCAGATGTTTCGTTATAGTCTTCTGGATCAAAACTGTTATCGTAATCGCAGTTGCTTTCATCAACACTTGATGTTGTCAAAGTATAAGTTGAATCATTATCTTGACTATTTGAATTTTCGGTTATTGTCAACATTGATCCTGGTAGTGTTGATACTAGTTCAACTTGATCCACTGCCGATTTGCTGCATATTTCCGCAGATGTTATCTCTATACCATTTTCTGTTTGTGCTCTTGTTTTTATTGTGGTTGTTCCTTCAGTTTGGCGTTGAATGCTTTTATGCGATCGCTTTCGTTTCAAGTTATTATTGTTTAATCGGTTGTGGATACGGCTGACTTCATGAAGGCTTCTTTGTTTTTCGTGTTCACGAAAATGAGCTATGCGATTATTGTCGCGTATTTTTTTGTTGCTGATGTTACATTCAAATGGCATTAAGAAACTTCGAAATAAAGTGAAACTCAAAACATTGTGCTTGCAACAAAAATAATGGCTTTAAAAATGAGTGAGATTAGCAGTCACATCTTTTATAAAAAATTTTTTCTTTGTTGTTTTAAAAAGTTGTCCTTCAGCCCTCTTAAAATAAAAAATATGCCTCCCAAGAAACATCATAATTTAGAACTGATTCAGAAAATTAGCTCATTGGAAAACACGGTGACTCAAAACAACGCAATGATAGTATCGTTGAAGGATAGTTTTACTCAGATTCAAGACATGTTACGTACTCATGCTGATGGGATGGAGGTGGTTCAAAGACATTTTGCCGAGAATGAAAGCCCCACAAGTTCAAACTCAAATGAGCAGGCAGGAACAAGGAAAAGGAAAATACCCATGCCAATGGTGACAATGACAAATGGAAACTCAAGGAAGCGAAAAATATGAAAGCGTGACGTACTTGATGCTATTCTTCTACTAAAACCTGATATTGAAGATGTTGGTATGGTTTATGAAAATATAAGGAGCTGTGCCTACTATCGTATTAAATCGCTTATGGATGTAACGTATAACGACCACCCACTACCATGGCGAGACGTGCTTGCGTGCTATCGTTGCGAAATAGTTCACTTGTTGAATGAGCGTGTACTTGAAATGGATGTAGATTTATCTCTTTGTGAGATTGACTGGGTAGCGCTCCACCTTATCAAGAGGTCTTACCAAAACAGAGAAAAGTATATGAGGTATTACTGGATATTTATTAAGATGACGTGACTCATTTAACAGAAAAATATAGCTCATCCACAGAGGCGGAAGAACAAACTCAAGACAGCCAAGACCAAACAAACTAAGCTCAAACAAACCAAGCCAAAAAAACCAAACCCAAGAAAACCATCTTCAAGAAAACCAAGCTTAAGAGAATAAGGTATTACCTCGGATTTGCATATTTTTATTTATTTAATATTTACTGGTATTGTTTTGACATAGGCTGCCATAGGCGATGAAAATATTTTCATATTTTTTTAATTTTTTTATTTTTAGGAAGGCAGTGAAGGTAAACTAAATGTATCCCTCGAATTGCATTACTAAATTATTTTATAGTCATTTTTATGCTTTGTCACCCCTTCATTTTAGGTATTGTTTTAGTTTTTTCATTATTATTATCATTTTTTAAATATTATTAAAACGAATAAAAAAAAACCGTTTTTATTTCTTACTGAATTAATGTACTGAATTATCTGACTGAATCTATGATCTGAATAGTACGAAAATGTATAATAAAAATACTGGATTCTATAAACTGACTTCTTTGAAATCACATGCTCCATATCAGTGAATATGGTCAACTGAAAATCGTTATTTTGCCCTTGAATTCTATTCATAAATTCACTAAAAATATTAGTGAAACTACCCCCCTTGCCGTGTTTTCAATTCACTACTTTTCTACGTCTTTTTCAGATCTTTCTGTTTTAAAGTGGTTAGTACTCTTGCTGATGCAAAAACGTATATCCAAGGTCTTTTACTTAATAGCATCAATGACGTACATAATGACTTACTCTCCTAAGGTTGTAAGCAAAGCTTATTTTTTGGACCAACAAACACCTGCAGGTACATTATATGACAGAATAATTACAACAATAATTATCGTTAAATGTTACCATCAAAACAGTCAAAAAGATTTGGATTACAGTGTTCTTTTTTTGACTGGTGTAGGTTTGAAAAATTGAGAGTCTAGCTCACGCCAATAATAATAGCGGAATAACTGAAAATAGCTTTAGGTCGGGCATTATTTTTTGTAGTGAGCTTTCCAAAATCGTTGAGAAAAATAAACTTATCAAGCGTGATAAAGAGAGCTGTTATAACATATTAATACTGCTATTATAAATCACCATAAAAAAATGGAAGATGTACAACAAAATTACGGTGACAACTTCTATTATCCGAACATATAATTAAATCAGAAAGTGAGCCACATGAAAAAATATGCCGTCGTATTTTTATCAATGCATCGGCAAGTCCAAGTTGAGAACGCGTTGTCGTGGGTACAGCAAAAGTATTTCAGAGACCACATAGTTGAAGTCAAGCGGTCTAACGGTTTTACCCAATCAATGAAATGACACCGCATAGGAACATTAATTCATCGCTGTTTTTACGTTTTTAGCGGTTGAAATTTAAAGATCTCTCGTAGTCTGGCACGGATTCAGCTTTCATTGGGGTTGTTTTCCTAATTTTTGTACGATTTTGAAGGGCTCCTCGCAATTGTATATCAACGGTATTAATATCATGTGTTGTGTTTTAAGGTAAAGTAAAATTATAAAAAGACTATAGGAGTAGTTTGAGACTGTTTATAAGATTGTCCTTTATTAATAAATGAAATATACGAGTATTTATATAAAAGACTGTCTGCTGTGTTCATATCTCTAGTGCTATCTTGAAGTTATCATTGATTAACCAAAAATGTATATGATTATTACATAGTCACTAATTTAGTCTTCTTCTAATAAATGTTAAGTCTTCTGAACTCTCTTTGCTTTAAACTAAATTTTAAGTATTTCTCAGACGTACTAAATTAGACTTGTGATGTAATATCCTTATAGTTCTTACTATGACATTTATTGTTAAGCTTACTGTATATCACAAATGGTATCAGCATGGATAAACCTTTGTTAGCTCTAATATGGCTATAGCCTTGCTAGGTCACCACATCATGAGTTAAATTAAAGTTATTATTCCTTTTTTGTAACAAAAAAGATAAAAAAAACCCCATAGTAGAAGAACCACGAAGGGGAATATAAGTTTCACCACAATTATTAGCCTTAATTTGTTGCAGTATAATTTGACAGATTGAAAAAGTCGTAATTTATATTTAGAATTCTGAAATCGTTGGGAACATCATTACACGCATTCGCATATAAAAATATGTGGTAGCTTGACTCCCACTACCAATAATAATAATAGTGATAAATCGTTAAAGTTAAGAGAAAACACCCGGAGTATTACTTTTTTTAGTATAATTTATTTTGCCTCATGACATCATTGGACGCAAAGTAGATCAAGATCAGTCGGGAAATCATTCAGCATTGGTCATCGAAGCATAATGTTACGTAGTCAATGTCTGTTAAAACGAGCAAACACTAGAGCAAGTTTTCTCTAAAACCCTTAAAACTGGAACGGTATTGTTTGATAAACGAAAAACGTCTCCCTTTTGGTTATTATTTGATTATATTTGACTAATTTAACAACGAATTAAAAAAACGGCTTTGAAGATTCTTTCGGAACGGCGATCTTAGCTTATCCAAATGTCAAAGTAAATTGTTCATGGAAGACTTTCTTCATTTTTACACAACCCTAACCTTCACAAACATGCTTTTGTATGTGAGCGCAACTGGCTCGTACATTTTTAACATACTTGTGCGGAAGCCAACCACATGTAAACAAAAGATCTCAAAGCAAAACAATAAACCATCAATTTAATGCCTTTACATGCACGAATTTCGACAATAATATTCCCATTTTGTTGGAAGAAAAAAGAAATTAAACAAATTTTTATTTGAATTATTCGTCCAAATTGTCCAAATATTCTATAGGAAATACAAACATGTACATTAAAATAATGAAAATACACAAATGACTAACTTGTTTCGACTTACCATCCGGCTCTAAAGCTAATTGTGCGAAAAACGCTTCGTCCGGATCTACATACTCCACCGAAGTGGACTCAACTCTATCCATCAAAGAGACAGAAAGAGGAACAGGAGCAGAGGCAGACGACAAGCCAGGCGACGCAGAAACAGCAACAACAGCAGGCTTCACAGAAGACGGTCCTCCAGAAGAAGGGCCAACCGCAACAGGCTCAACCTCGGACAGGTCACCAACCACAGGACGAAGACAAGGAGAGCAGACAGAGTCGACAACAGACGGTCCGCAAGCAAAAGGACCAACGACAACAGGATCAAGCTCCATTGGCTCATCATACACAGGACCGACACAGGAGGGAGAGCGGACAGGGTCAACTGCGAATGGTCCACCAACAAACGTACCAACAGCATCAGGTTCCACAAAGGAAGGTTCAACAAGGACGGGAGCAACGCACAAAGGAGAGCAGACAAGGACAGAAGATGGCACCAAGCCAACAGAAAACAACACAGGGCTTCCAGCAGCAGGAGTGGTAGAAATATCCATGGCGTTATCGATGTTCATGGGATCATCTATAATAACCCCAGAGGGAACCAAACCAGGATATTGACGTGCGCATTTAATACGCAGAGGTCTAGCTTCACCACATTTAAATTGGCGTTTGCCCCGGATTTCCGCACGAGCTCGACGTACAATAGACGTGGTGGTGCGGTTAGTGACATTCACAACCACCGAAACAGACGAACCGACAGCAGGAGAAGCCGCATCAGCTGGAGCCACATCAGCAGTAGCCACAGCAACAGGAGCTAGAGCAGCAGGAGCCACAACAGCAGGAGCCAGAGCAGCAGGAGCCAGAGTAGTAGGAGCCACAGCAACAGGAGCCACAGCAACAGGAGCCACAGCAACAGGAGCCAGAGTAGCAGGAGCTACAGCAACAGGAGCCACAGCAACAGAAGTTACAGCAACACGAGCCACAGCAACAGGAGCCACAGCCAAAGGGGCCACAGCAGCAGGAGCCAAAGAAGAAGGAGTCAATGCAGAAGGAGCCAAGGCAGGCGTAGCCAAGGCAGAAGGAGCCAAAGCAGAAGAAGCCAAGTCAGAAGGTGCCAAGGCAGAAGGAACCAAAGCGGAAGAAGTCAAAGCAGAAGAAGCTAAGGCCGAAGAAGCTAAAGCTGAAGTAGCCAAAGCAGAAGGGGGCAAGGTAGAAGGACCCACAAGACAACAACAAAGCCTGTTACTGGCCGAACAGACCAAAGAACCAATGAGCGACAACAGAATGCCCACTAAAGAAAATAAGCTAGAAAAATCGAATACGATCCATTAACAAAGGGAAAATCTACGTGTTTAAATTACTTACCCCAATAACACGAAAAAAATCGCGCAAAACTACATTCACATGCAAAAAAAAGGAAATTAGTATTTGATGGAGATTCCTAATGTCATGTCATGTTACCAGAAGCTTCAGAAGCAGAGGAAATAATGGGGACGCGCTGTAGACATGAAATCCGATAAGAAGAATTAGAAAAGATGTACATTTATGAAAAGGATAAGGAATACTTACAAAAAGACAATCGACGCGATACAGTAAATCATTTTTAAAATAAAAATACTATGAAAGAAAAAAAGAGAAAATGGGGGCAGTTACCCAAGGAAAATAATAGAATATTTTTTGACGGTCACTTTTAGTGCGTTTTGAATTTCTATGTGTACCAATAATTAGACTGTGGGGAAAGAGCAACTTCTGTTATTCCCATTCCGTTGGTAAATGAACCCGCATTTCCAAACAAAATGTTATGATGTCGCATGCTTCAAAAACAATAGGTCGTAGATCTAACTGGATTGCAGAGAGAAATAACCAATCATGCAATTTAGTTGTCCAAATTACAATAGAGATCCTAATGAGAGACAGTAAACTAACAGAATTTAGGACTCGTGTGAAGACCAATTGCAAAATTGTGAATAAAAACAAGAAGGTGAAATCTATTGATGGCTCAGTCATTAAAAATGTTTGAAGTCTTACGACACCCTGCTTTCAAGTCTTGGCTGGTATCTGCAAGGTGATATTCAGGTTTAGATCAAAAGGTGTTCCTCTTTCCGAACGAGTAGGTAAGATGATCACATGTCAATACTGCAATCGACTAATGTGTCTTTAAAAAATAGTTTTAGCACGTTTATATCTAACGTAATACATTTCCACGTTCATTCCTTTTATTGTTCCATAAACCATCAATGTGACATACAACTACTATATGTGGGCACGTAGGTTAGAGTCAAAGTAGCACGGCCAATCGAAAGTAGTTTTTATTTTATCAAAGACATCGGCACCGAACACAGTGTCAATGAACAATAACGAATGCTCATCGTCAAACTGGAAGAAAAGCTAAGACAAATGGGTAGTACATCGGAAACTGGCTACAAGAGCGCAGACAAAGTCGATGTATCTTGTTGGACAATCAAAAACACTAAGTGGATCAAATAGAGAAACGAAAGTGAATGAAGCAGTTGCGAACATAAATGAAGTAAAAACTACTTACGCCGGTGACAAGGTTGATGGCGTAAATGATGTTCTTGTTGTGCCCACATCACATAATAAGTACTACTGTCTACAAAAAATAAGGTGTTCTTCAGATGGAAATTAAGAAGACTAGACTGGACTATGTGCATCGTTTTTTTTTACTTTAACATCACTTCAGGGTTTAATTAATAAGAGATCAGAGGGTTCCCAGAATCATCACAAAAGAAGAGTCGTATTTGACGGCTGTCTCGAATTTAATTATTTCTGAAATTGTCACTCAATAATAAAACACTGTCAGGAGCGGACAGTACAGACAGAAGAATACTTGCTTACAAGAAGAAAGAAATAAAAGATATTTATTATATTTATTATAACAGAGAGAGAGAGAGAGAGAGAGAGAGAGAGAGAGAGAGAGAGAGAGAGAGAGAGAGAGAGAGAGAGAGAGAGAGAGAGAGAGAGAGAGAGAGAGAGAGAGAGAGAGAGAGAAAGAGAGAGAGAGAGAGAGAGAGAGAGAGAGAGAAAGAGAGAGAGAGAGAGAGAGAAAGAGGAAAAGAGGAGAGAGGGTTATTAGATGATATATCTGAGGAAGCGGAAGAAAGAAGAGGGAAAGTTAAGCTATATTTATAGTAAAGGATTGTATAGTTATTTAGCACAAAAATAAGCAATGACAAAGTTTAGCAAGTCATTACTTATTTATGACAGATTTGATAATCGATGACTGAGACGTAGATGACAAGGTGCTGAAAAAAAATTATCAAGATTAATGCATCTACGTGACACGATCATGACAAACACATACCCATTTGCGTTGTAAATATGATTTTTAGAATACATACATATTATTTCGACAATGTATCAGCCTCCTCTTCAGATTTTATTCAGATAACATTTCATAACGTGCAGCTGCTAAAGTGTCAGGAGCGGGGCGGGGCAAGAACAGAACAGAATGATTATTAAGGTGAGGACAAGACAAAGAGAAATTATACATCTATTAGTATTAATATATATAAAAAAGGAATGAGGGTAGAAAAAAGTTTATTCAGGGAAGCAGGAATAATAGATAAGATCTTGAATACACAAATAAGAATAAATAAACACTATGGCGGAAATAATGGCAACTAACTGCCATTTACTTCACAAAACTGCCATTTTTTCGGCGTGCAAAAGTGGCAGATATGATATTCTATAATAAAAAAAGAGGCACAGTTGCCATATACTTTTGTCTGGCAGAAATGGCACCTATAACAGTTGAATGAAGCCAAGAGGTTCACAGCTGCTGTTTTTGGTTTTAAAAAATTGTATCTATTTTAGTTTGTTGAAGACAAATCATTCACAGCTTCCATTTTCCTGGCTTGTAAAAGTGGCAGTTATGATATTCTATAAGAACAAAACGTTCACAGTTGCCATTTTTGTTAAATTGATAAACCCTTAACCTTTCTTTTAGAACCATTCTTTTATATTTGGCAGGCTCACTTTTTCTTATTCAATGTTATTATTAGCAGTAAAGCACGTTTTATTGGATTGTTTATTTATATTTTCAGTGGTGTATAGGAGGGTTTGATAGGACTCTAACCTTTTTATTTAGGTTTCTGGTTGTATACATGGCAATAAGATATACCATTATAATGTTGGGAGTTACTTTAGCTTACCTTTGACTCTCTTAACAGTCTATAAAGTTAATGTTAGAAAATAGTAATACTGTAATTAATTCTGCATTTTATTACCAGCCTTAAGTTCTGATGTCGACGATTATTTGACCGGTAGTGTTCCTAAAATGTCGTCGTTTGAGTGAAAGGTACACAGAATAAATAGTCTATATGTAAGCAGTATGATATCAATAAGAATAAAACATAACTTTTTAAAGGCTATTGACCGGTAAAAATAGAACCGTCTATTGATGAGGACCATTATCCATGGAAAATGGTTATATTATACAGACGTACTTTACCTTGATCAAAATAAGAAAAATAGACTAAAGTTTTATCTAAAAAAAAACCCCTTTTAGTTTATTATTCAGGTTACATGTCATTGCTTCAGTCATTACAAACATACCCAATTCCAGCATTTTTGTTCACACTTTCCGTTATTTTGAAGGTGCTATATACCCTTACCATCGTTATTTGAAGGCTATTTATTTTAAAAGATAAATAAAAGTAAAAAAAAGAGAGGGAAATTGTAAGCTAAAAGAACGCTAAAATACACACTAATAAAGAAGCTAAAGACCAGAATGGACCAATCATGTCGACCAGACACGACTATTATCTTCTTCTGGTTCTTTTACGTGAAGGTTCATTAGCTAGCTCTAGTGGAGGAGAACTGTATAAAAAATAAGTATCGCATATGAGTATACATATACCATGCATGAAAAACAATAAAAAAAAACTTACAGTACGTCAGCTATGATGGGGGACTCATCGCGACCCATATTCTCAAAAGCGTTATTGATAGAGTTTGAACAATCGGAATCTTGTTGATTCTACATTTTGTTACCTTGTTAACGATATTGATGAAATAAACCACTTAAGAATTTTTTATTGCTACCCTTCTTCTGTGTGTTTGGTTGTCACTTTAAAAGCTCTCCCTTAACAAGCTTTTGGCACACCACATTCTCTTACACTGGTATATTTTGAATCCCTTGTCATTCGCAAGCTTTTCCTGGCGCAACATGTAAAAATCCCTATCATTTGCCGGCTTATCCTTCGAGTTTTTTAACACGTCAGGTTGGTCCAGGTCAATCAAATCATGCTTCAACGATTGTGCCAGTGACTTCAACTGAATTCATTTGGTTTATAAATTACGTTGTAAAATTCGGACTGGAGGTGGCTTTTGTTGCTCATCGGGAATATCCTTGCAAAATAACTGCCAGTCTTTTGTGTGTAAACGTTGCAGCAGTTCATTTAGTCTATCAGAGATCTTCTTTCCTTTAAACTCTTCAGAATTTGGGTCAATCGTTCGTTTACCAAGCTGATCAGGATATTCAATCACTTGGGATCTTTTTACCGACTCGGTGATTCGATCACGAGCTAAAGAAAATATACAAAAAAAAACTGATTCAGTCAAGATTATCAGAATCTTGGAAGGATAGGCTTTACCACTTTGTTCGACGATACTTTTTTGTATCGTATTTACATCTTCATCCGTGATGTTTCGTGCAAATTGATTTTTGAACTGATCAGACAGCGCAGCTAGAATTTGATTGATCTCGGTAATGTCAAGTTCGATTTTACGAACAGAATCGGTGAGTGCAATATTCATATCAGACATTTGGAAATGTTTGTTTTAAAATAAATATTTTTAATGAATAAAAAGGTATAAAAAAGTTAAAAGAAGATATTCTAGTACATGTAATATGTTTTTATCCCACCTTTAGTTACTTTGAGTTGAATTGTCTGCTTACCTAAATTATGTCGTTTTTTGTTTTTTGTTTTTTTTTTGTTTGTTTGTTTTTTGTTTGTTGTTTTGTTTGTTTTTTTTTGGGACGACATGTCGTCAGGTCATGGCGTTTTAAAATTTAAATGACGGAAAAAAATTGAAATTAATACTTAAGGTCAAAGACCATAGCTAATAATATATCGTACCTGCCGTCATCTTCCAGGAAAGTTTTATCATTGACGTATGTCACTATGAAAGGGAAAAAATTCAAAAGGCGATTTTAAACTTAGGTTATTGAGTGTATAAAAAGCACCTTACATATATAAATTACTTACACAGGTTACATTTTCCAAATATAAATCACACTTCCACAGATATCAAAATTTTCAAATGTCATTCCCTCCCTCTTCTTCGTCAAATGCCAACAGACAAAGAGATATACTTCCTCGTGAAATTTTGAATGTGACAGCTGTTCGATGATCTCTGACAGAGACCGTCAACTCCAAAACCATAAGAGCGTTCATATAAGAACAACAACATCTGAAGATACCGATATGCAAGAAAGCAATTATAATTCTGCTGATAATGGAGACGTCAGTGATTAGGGTACGAATAACTACCTTATATCCTTATTTTAAAAATAACATACAAGGTAATTTTAGTCTCTACCCCCGTTGTCATGGATGTTGATGACCAAATCAATTACAATTGCGGATGCAGCTTTGAAGAAAATGAAGGCAGGGCTCACGTTTATCAACCCAGTCGAATCGGCTCCAACACATTCACAAAAGCTGAATTAATGAGCATTAATCTTTCCGAAATGATGCTGGAACAAAAGATAGCCCGAGCTGCTTACAGGGACATTGTAAGATTTGTTAATACGGTTATTCGGGACCACGATGAGATTATGATGGGTAATAAAAATAAACATATGGTCTTGATACATTAAATTTTCCTACATCACATTGGTAATTCATTCCGAACCCAGAGCCAAAATTAGCTATGGTGAGGTGGTTGATGATTTAGTCAAAGCTTAATCCAGTGTTTATGGCCACGAATACGTTGTCTGTCTCAACGTCTGTAGATTGTATTGATTGGATGATGAAGAAGACGAATGTTTGACTCTGACCAAAAGCGATATAAGACTAGCACTGAATTGATCAAGGTCGCCAACGCCAGGATGAAATTGATGTCTATCGGTGATCTTCTTTCCAATATGTTGGCTGATCCTCACACTAGAGACCTTCTAGATTATAGAGCCAACAGGGAATTAAGTAACATGCAAATGAGTGATATTTTCGATGGGCAAATTTACAAGGATCTGGTAAGAAAGGGATTGTTCTCCAATCCTGACGATATGGCCATTGGTCTTTACACTGATGGGTTTGTAAACCAAAAGAAGGGCAAAACGTTTTTTACAATCATCCACGTTGTGATATTCAATCATGATCCTTTCATCAGGTAACAACTTATACTGGTCTTAAAAGTTAAAGCTTTCTAAACACTAGACATTAGATACACAAACGAGCATATGTTACAGCTAGCAATTTCACGTGGTCCTAAAAAACCTACTCATCTGGATTCATTCTTGCGACCCATCATCGACCAGTTAAAGGATTCGAAAACCCATGGGCTTGTTGTTAAACGTGATGATATAAAAATATGTCGCTCGAAAGTATATTTGTTGCGAGCTTCTGGTGATATTCCAGTTTTGGCAGATATGGCTCACATCGGTTCTCATACCAGTATATACGGTTGTCGTTTTTGTGAATCGAAAGGGGGAAATCGAGACGATAGGTCTCATGGAAAGTATTTTGACGATAGTTCTGCCCCATTGAGACCACTGCAAGACTACATGACTGGAAGTCTTGTAAGTATAATGACTTGAACTTTTGTTTTCTCGAGACCAATAAAGTGTACCAACTATAGATAAAAAATATTTACCAACCTAGTGTTCTTAGTGAGCTATCGACATTTTCCGGTTCCTCATTTTTTGGGTTGTATGAGCTCCATCTTTTAGTCAGAGATATCGGCAAACATTTATACAATCTGATCACAGTAGAAATTTTTAAAGATCAAACGTACTACTATACAAAGCGAGATAAAACCGTCTCAATCGCCAACTATTCTTTCTACATCTCAGGAAACAATTTGGATGTTATTGGGGATTGTATCACTTCATCGAGAAAGCATGTCCCCGTTTCTTGCCAGGGTAACATCAGCAATGTTTTTGAAAAGATTGATGGTACACGTGGGGTGGATTGGTTGGACTTCCTTTTGTACATTGTTCCCACATTGGTTGTGTCCTACCTGCCTAACAGGTCTGCCAAAAATAACGTTCTGGGCTTGGTCAAAGGTTTTGCTCTTGCATTGCAGTCGGATCTTACACCAGATCTTATCAGTAAAATGGAGGGGTAAGTCGGTATACTAGAGTGTTGGGAATTTAGTTATTTAACAGAAATGTATTACCTCTGATAGCTTCTTTCCATTTGGCACACCTATCTTCTGGAGCAAGTCAATCTGAAAAACATCTCTCGGAGCGTGTTTCGTCCTGTCCAACCTTACTTGATTCACGTTTCAACATCATCAAGCAGCAAGGTCCCTTGAGGTGTTACGCTGCAAGATATATGGAGAGAGTAATTGGTGTATACTCCAAGCTGATTAAATCAAGAAGAATGGGCGGTAGAAATGCAAGTATGCTCATCGAAAGATTTGCAATTCGCAATTTCATCAGCGGTATTATCGATATTACGAGGGAAATTGATTTGATCGTACCAGCCGGACCAGGTGACATCGATTTCAGGAATCTTCCTGATAGCCTGGATGATGTGCAGCTTTGGGCGCCGTTTGGTGGTAACGCCTCTCTGAAGGTGAGATGATAGAAGGTATCAGATGCAGCCGAGTAAACGATGTCTTATCTAGATATTACCGAAGATCCAGTGGTCTGAATGCTGCTACTTCTTTCGGTGATTCTGAAATTGCCATTGCTTCATGTGCTTGGATAAACAACAATTTTTACTCCTCCAGCATGTACCGAAGACGAAGGAATGAGATAAGTCGGGGAAACCATTACGTGATGTTCACCACCAGCTATAAAAAGTAAGTCGATTCCTGTTTTCATTGAGTTAACTTCTCACGCTTCTTTCTTTTTCTATTTTTACCTTAGTCATTTCCACGTTTTCCGTCGCTGTTGGCTTGTAGGTGCTGTTCAGTTCTTTTTTAAGCATGTTGACTTGAATAATCTCCCACAGTTTTTGGCGCTAGTCGAAGTCATGAAACACCACGACGTGGATCGACACGACAAGTCTGTTCGAATTGTCGAGGCTCGTTCAGGCTCAGCGCAAGCAACATTCGTGGTCAACAATGTCGTAGACATTGAACATCAAGTTGGGTTTATTGAGTTTCGTCCCAATGAAAACCAGCTCTACGTCATTGCCCCCTACTATGTATTCGACGATAATCTTCAAGCAAAGAAAGGAAACCTTTCCATTTTGGAAGTTTTTGTAATTGCCATTCGTTTCATTACTTTTCTTTTTTTTCATGGAACACATGTCGAATAAAATAAGGTCATATTTTCTTGGAGCAAAATGATAATAAAAGAATCACAGAACCGAAAAAAAAGAACTTCTTTTTTTTTAAAAAAAAAAAAAAAATCTGGTTTTCAAAATAATAAAAAATGAGAGTTTGTTACCATTTGCTTCACAGGCGCAAAAAATTATTTTTTATACGGTAACCCATCAAATTCGGATCAATATTGCATCAAATTTTTCGCATAAGGCAATTTTATTTTAACTTCGAGATAGTCTTTATTACATCTAAACTACATATTGACGTTTTCAGAAAGGTTTTTGAAGCATTTTTGTTTTTTTATGATATTATGATCATTTGTAGCAATCTTTTACTCAAATCTTATTGGCTGGGGATATCGAGCAAATGAAAAAATAGTAGTTATGTTTTTATTTAATTCACAGCTGCTGTTATGTTCGCCATAGTGAAACATGCTGTTATTTATATTAATTGACAGATCGGGTTAACAAGGGTTCGGGGATCAGATTTACACAGACTGATTATTAGCCATATTGAGTTTGGGACATCTTTGGGGTAGCAGGCATACTGTAGATACAGATAATTTCGGGGACAGATACAGAGGATAACATGGTCCGATATTATTAATGTTTTAAAAGGGAGTGCAAAAGCAGAGGTACAAAGGAAACGGATGTTAAATGGGTTTTACAAAAACAAGGGATAACCGAGATACATTATTTGGAGCACAGACGTTAGACAAAATACAATAGTGATGTAACAGTGACATGTGTGACAGGAGAATCAGAACATGGAACAGGTGGAACAGGGACAATGGGCTAGTTTGGTTTCAATAATGCTCAGAGACACTTTGCATGATTATATGCAGCTGAAACCTAGCCGGTTCATGACACAAAGCTTCTAATTGAAAAATACAACAAAAAAAATAATCTATAAGACTAATGATTTACCGGATTGCAAAATAACTTGTTTTTATTAAATATAAAAATAAAGAGTTCCTTTATACACATTGAACGTAACCATAACTGTAAACGGTAAAACTACCATCGTAGGTAGATTTCATTATAAATCATCCAAGCTGTCAATATCCCGCAAGGTACATCAAAGATAATAAAAATAACAGTTTGTAACAGGGAAATTCCCCTTAGTGCTACGTCAATTTTAGATTAGTTGCTGACATATGTCAAAATATGAAATATGATAAATTACTTCAATCGTCGGAGTATCCCAATACTGTCGTGTATATACTCCTCGAATACAACACTAATTCTTCATAAATTAATTAATTTAAAGACCTTTTCGCAGAATAGATAAACCTTAATGCACTAAAAATAGCAGATATATTATCT